TCACTCCTGCAGAGCTTGTTCAACGCTTGGTCCAGTAGTTAGAACAGAAGTTTTAGATAAAGATGATAAACTACTGCTACTGCAAGGCTCATCAGGAAGGGAGGTGGAACATAATCGCTGTGCAATTTTCTACAGAAAGTATATTCAGAAAAATCTTCAGTGCTCATAGTGACCTGTTTGTATTTATGCAGAGTATTTATTTCAACTTAGTGACTTTTTCATGGGTAGTTGTGAAATTATTCTATTGTGTCCTCTGTCTATTCATCTCCTACTGGTGCTCCACTCGGCTTTCTCTTGGATGCATGTGACTGCATGGGCCAGCAGCCAGGTTTATATTTAGCAGTGCTGGAGTCAGCACCTTTCATCCTTAATTGCTGTAGTAATGGGAAACTGTTTGTGAGTTATAACAAATGATGCAGAATTCTGTCTTTGCTCTCAACTCATGGGTTGTTTTTGTTCTGATCTGGAAAATTAAGGGAACCCAATTGAAGATCAGTGAACATGGTTTTTCATTTTTTGTTTTGCTGTGTGTACCAAGGGTTTTGCAGTTTTTGCTAAAAACCTCGAGAAAAACGGAGGAATAAAGGGGGATGGCACTGTGCCTTATGAGCTTATTCCATGAATGAGCTCATGCATCATAGTCAGAATTTTCTTAATGATCCCCATCTAGCAGTAACACACACCTTGTTTCTAGGCTCCAGTCCCAAATTTTGGGGATAAAGATCCCCTTATGAACTCACATGTAAAGGAATATGTCTTTTCAATACATTTGATTTCTTGTTCTGTGCAAGTGAAGCTCTTCCTGTCTCCACGATTTGTATCTGAATGATTTGCTAACGTGACCTGGACAGGTTTTTGAAGGAAATGGATTGATGAATTTGAGACAAAACCCTCCGTAACTTCCAGATGAGAGGCTGACCTTCAACACCTACAATGGAGGTTATAATGGATCTAGATAGATTAGTCTTTTTCATATTCCTCCTCCTTACCTTCTTGGTATTCATTGTTAAGTCATTAAACTTAATAATTTGGTCACTATTTAAAAATCTGTAAAACGCCTCTCATATTCTTGTCTTAGATTTAGCAATGCTCAGCGGTAGCGTGGATCTTCCTGGGGGAGCCCTGGCCACAGTACATGTTATCACTGTTGTGTTTCCTGCCCCTGGGTGACAGTAACAGATTTAGCTCTAAATTGTTATGGCAGTGTTAGCTGCCATTTGAATAAAACATAGTAATGTGTGCCTTTAGGCTTGCAGGTTCTTAAAAAATTGATAGTTCAGAAACTGGTTATGACAACTTTCTGGTTTCGGTTGATTTTTATTTATTTATTTATTTTACCACCAACTGTCTGAATAAATGCACCCCCATTACCTGTTAGTTAGTTGGTGTTTGTCAGCTAAGAATAATAATCTTAAAACTAAATTGTAAGTACTGTCTTGGTTTAAATTGACTGCAGTTGGCAGAGTTAATTTAACTCCCTGGAGTTGGGCCAAGTTGTGGATAATGGTATTACTTGTGTTGACAGTTTTATATTCCCCCTTAGGTTCTATCTATTTAAAAAAAAAGTTAAATGTTTACTTAGCAAAAAAGTGATACTGTAAATTCAAAAAAAGATCAAAAACAGATTTAAGAGGCAATTGTTTCTTATTTTCTGCTCCCCAGACTTTGCTAATTCAGGACCTGTGACCTGTATTGCAATTGATCCTTGGTTTATAACTTTATTTTCTAATTGACATTCATTATCATAAATGGTGTTCCTTACTTTGCCACTTCATTTTGTTCCTTCTGCAGTTAGATGAATTCTGGTGTCTTCTTCAGCCCAGGGTGAGCTGGTGCGTGGCTGTGGTGAAATGCAATGCTGGAGTACATCAGGGGTTTTTCCCAGACATTTTAAACTCTGAACTGTTGCATTCTGACTGAATTCAGTTCTTGAAAGGCGTTTTGCAATTTGGATTTTTTTCCCTCCAGTAAAATAAGCAAATGACATCTTTCTGCTGCTGTACTCTCTGAAGGCTTTTTTCTTGGTGATTTTTTTTTTTTTGCTGAGTCTTGAAAATTGAAATAGTCAAAACAGCTTCCTGTGAATAAGTACCCTAGTCGGAAGTAGGGTATTGAAATTGCTATCTAGAGTTTAAAAAAAAATAGCTTTAAAGAATTTTTTTGGCTCTCCAAGAGATGTTTTCCCCTGGGCCCTTCATATCTTGCAGAGTTTTAAAGTACGTTACACTTTAAAGAGGTGGCATTGGAAGCGATTCTGTAAAAAGGTAACTTGCTTTCATGCCACAGTAGTTATTTAATTCTTTCTGCTTTAAATTTTTTCCTTCCAGTGTCCCAGCTTTAAACTAAGCCTTGGCCTCTGCAAGTAGAGCTGAGCTGGTCCAGCCCCACAGCGGACAGCGCTCTGTACCTCGCAGTGGAGGAGCGTACCTCAGCCCTCAGTTTTGGTGCTCCGTGGGGAACGTCTTTTCCCTTGAGCCTGGTCCTGCAGGTATTGTGTGACGAGGTCCTGAGCAACCTGCTCTGATTTGGCCCCACCTTTGGGCAGGACTGGGTCTGAACACCCGCTCCAGGCTGAAGATGTGTGTCCTGGCCCAGGCAGAGGGCATCAGGATTGGAGCTTCCCTCTGGAGCACAAGTAGGGTTGACCTGTACCGGCGATCTGAATTACTTCTGTCAGGCTTCTGTCCCTGCATTATTAATGCATCTAGATTTTTCCCAGGTTAATTTTTGTCTCAGTGATGAGGGAAGCTGCATGTCAGGCATGTTGGTTGGTTTTTTTAATATATAAACGAAAATTCTTACAAATGCAGCAGGAAGACACAGTTACCTACACAGGTCCCTATGGCTGGACAGGAGCAGACTGGTCTCCAGATCATGGTACCATCATAGATTTCAGATGCTGAAGGTGAATCATGCTGTCCTTAGGGACCTCTCTCTTAACATTTGACTACCCAAGTGTTGTTGAAGCACCTTAGGTACTCCACTTAAAATAGATATTTAGCAGGAATCCCACGCTACTGAAACAGGTTGTGTCAATGGTGAAGTAATTTTTGCTTGTATTTGATCCCTTGCTGTTTTCCCTCTCCCTTTTTCTCCCCTCTACCCCTAGAATAGTGTCCCCTAGAGTCTCTCCTTTTGAAACCAACCCAAGATAGTTCTTGATCTATGCTCTAGAGGAGGTTTATATCCTTTTTAGTTAATGGACTTGAAACTGCCATTATTCATAGGTGTAAAAGATTGGGTTTTTTCTCCTACCAAATGCTTGTCCTTAATTTCTCCTTTTGCTAATAAGTTTCTAAAATCAATCATGCACTGATTTTTAGCTTTTTAATAGCTTTCCAGCTACACTGAATAGAGTGTAATTATGTAGGCTGCCGTGTGCTATCAAACTCAAACATCAGTGTAGTTAAATCCACGAGACTGATGTTCAAGAGCTTTGTAGTATTTTGTGACAAAGCAAATAGGCTGCTGTCTTTTGTGTTGGTACCCAAAATACTTCACTTGGAAATTATCTAAAGTAACCTGTGAGGACAAAGGAAGGCCATAGGCAGACAAGTGCAGAAGTCTATGTTGGAAAAACATATCCCATCCCTGGTATCATCCTTCCTGAGCATAAACTGAAAATTTTGGTGTTTTTCAGCTGTGGGGCACCAGTGATGCCTGCAGCTGTGGAAGATTGGCTCTTGCAGGGTTCCCCTCTGCTTACCATGAGCCGTTCTTTGGTTCTTCCTCCAGGCTGAGATTTGAATATGTAAATTCCTTGGCATTTTCTAGGGAAAACAGAATTTAATGCACTTCTGTAGTGTTTGGACTTTTCTCACTTGCACGATAAATACAGCTGGGGTTTGTAGAGCTTGGGTAGTTTGTCTTTTGGTCAGAGGGAGGAAGCAGTTCTTCCAATAACTGTGAAAGCTTGAAAGTTTTTATAGTTTAAGACCTGAAGTTAATGAAATTCTTTTGGAAGTCAGTGTCTTGGTTGGCTGAATACTGGTGTTATGGTCTGACTCCTCTCATGTTTTACCATTTTTTACCTTTGCCTGTAGAAGTTACGTAATTAAAAGTATGAAATGAACTTGTCAAAAGCTCAGGGTTCATAATAGTGGGAAATACTGGGGCAACTTCTTTTCTGCTTTAAAATGGGGTCTTATGCTCAAAATCTCTCTCTCTCTCTATATATATATAAAAAGAGCTTGTTTTCTTTTCCTTGTCCCTGTGAAGTGGGTGGCTGTTGCTGCTGTGTTCTGTGCATCACCTCTGATGGACAGGTTGTGGAGTCTCCTTCTCTGGAGACGTTCAGAACCCACCTGGACGTGTTCCTCTGCAACCTGGTCTAGGTGATCCTGCTCTGGCAGGGGGGTTGGACCCGGTGGTCTTTCGAGGTCCGTTCCAGCTCCTAAGATGCTGTGACAGCGTTAGCTTCCTGTGAGTACTCTGTCACTCCTTGTCTTCCCAGGCTCCTAATGGTCTGATGCCAGGGTACCTGAAACATGCACCAAATGATCCAGTGTCATCTGCTGTTACTGAAATCTGCATCTCTAATGTCATCGTCGTATTTTCCTCTTATTCTCATACTTGCTATTAAAAGCTGCCTTCTGCCAGAACAGAAATGGGAGGGTTTTTGTAGACTGTCTCTGGAGGAAAGAAGGTTGTCTGCTGCATGCTCAGAGGGCCTCTAAAAACAAATAATAAAATACAATTGTCTGGTTTTTCTAATTTTAGTGTGTTTTTCTAATTTTCAGTAATAAAGATGGCTGTTGGGCTGCTTCTAATATATGCTGTTACTTTGCATAATCACTTAGTTTGATGTAGTTGTATCATTCTAAGACTCTTGGGCTTTTAATATCGAGTTCTCTCTTGTAAAAATGTAGGTGTGATGCATTTTCCTTCCAATTTTAAAGTTAAATAACATAACTGCCTGCTAGTAATTTGATAAACACTTCATAAGAAACTGCATTTGTGATGAACAAGCTAACTTTCTTGTTTCATTTTGACTTCTCTAGAAAAGCTGGAGGTTGCACCACCATCTCCAGGACAACTGAAACATGGTAAAAGAAGGATGTTTGTTGAATGTGGTTTGGTACTTGTGCCATCTGTCTTTGAATTCCTTCATCTTTCTCCTACAAGTGCTGCTCTATCCTCATCCCTGTCTGATGGAGTGACAGAAAACCACCACAAGTACCAATGCTCACCCTGCTGCCTTTATTTCCTAACCCCTCAGCTGGAGAACGTGCACCACTTACCGAATGTAGGACAGAAAGCCCAAATGAGAGCACGCATTCAGAGCCAGCAGCAAACGCTGTTTTTCTGAGTCAGGCGCTGTTGATGCTGCCGTACCTTGTGGGGGGTTTTGTGTTTAAGCTTAAAACTCTTGACTTGCTTCTTTTTTTTATGTATTTTGAATAGACTGAGAAGTGGGATAAAATCTTAGAGAAATAGGAAATAAATTTGGTATTTTTTGTAATACCATGGTCATCCAAATTCTAGTGTCCAGATCAGTGTATTTTTGTGGTTTTATACTCTCTGATGTATTTAGTTCTAGATATCTACCCTTATTTTTTTTAATTAATTTTTTAATTGGTCCCTGGGGTTCTTTTTACTCCATGGATTCCAAAATTCTGACAACTTTGGTAAGAATTTGAGCTCTTTTGTAGCTCTGGAGTTCGGTACACACATTTTTAAATTATTGAGCATAGCTTTGTGCTTTTTGTTATTTATCTTTTGGGGGGTTTTGGCTTGCTGTGGTTTAAATAAAAAAAAAAGAAAGAAGGAAAACTTCATACATTCTGTGCTTTAGTCTATTACCTGTGCATTTAAGAAGGTATGTATGGCCTTATAAAATATTTACAGAAGTCCAAACGTGTTCTAGAACCCGAGCATGAAAGATCTCTTGTGACTTTGTTTTTCACATGATCATGGATTCATGGTGTCTGTGACAAATGTCCCCCAAAAGGGACTCATCCTGCTTCCTTTTCACATGACTGCGAGGTTCATGTTCTCTTTTGTCTTCCCTCTTCACATGTTTGTATCTCTGTAAGTTTATAAAATGTAGGAATTACTGTTCCCAGCTGAAGTGGGGAAAAAATCCTAAATAGCTGATGCATTTTAAATGTTAAAAAAGTGAAAAGATACAACTTCTTGAGCTCTATTTTTAGTCAGGTATTCTGTCCTCGATGCTGTATTTAGTCTTCTGCTTTTTGCACCTCGAGACTCAGCTGGAGGCAACGCTGTGCAGATTCAGTCTTATCTCTCTCTTATCATAAGCTTGCAAGCTAAAAGTGGACCAGTGGACAAAATGGACCAGGACAACAGAAAATATTTTAAAATAGGATTTACTTGAAGTTTCAAGAAAAAAAAGCATAAAACAAAAGGTGGAACTTGTTTATTAATGTATTGAGAAGCAGCTTCAAGCCTGACTTGTTCTTATCATGGTGCCCAAAGAAAATAAAGATTCAGAAGTTGGAGTTTAATAGAGAGATAATTAATGCTGTATGACACCCTAATGAAAACCACCTTAGTATATGCAGATTTAGCTGAAGGAGTTTTGATAAGAATTGCCTAGCTCCAGGCAATGCTCCAAAAATAAAAATTTTTAGGAATGTGTGGGAAAGATGGAGCTCTTGCACAGGAATAGAGTGACTTCCAGAGAAAAGGACTTTATTTCGAGCAAGAGAAGAATGCGGGGAATCTGGTGAGACAGTTTGGCAATATTCAGTGATACTGCCACATTACTTGTTGTTATTATGTATTATTACTATGAATATTACCAAAGTTTTAAATATTCTTCTTATGCACTAATAGGCATAAGTGGCTTCAATCCAAAATTGTACAACTATTTGCAAAGAGTAAGTTGGTTTTAACTGGCTCTTTGCAAGCCATGAATAACACTTGTGTAGCAAAGGGTTCTACCAAATGCGACAGAAATAAAAAGCTCACTAATAGAAGAAGCAGGAAAGGGATTTTGTGTAAGTTGGTTTTGTTTTCCTTAAAGGCAGTATTAGGCTGATGTTTCAGTTGTTTGTGTGAACTAGTGAACTCTCATAAATATTTATTTTCTCTGTGTTACTTATTTTTTAGTGTTCTTCCACAATGCATTACCTTTTGTAGGGTTTGGATTTTTGGATAATGCAATTATGATTGCTGCGGTAAGTTCACTATTTAATTTCTTGATCAAGTCAGCATGCTTCACGTTGTTCAAGTAATGAGTGAATGAGAGCTTCAGGAAGGCTCCGTTCTCTCTGTATCAACTCACTGATTTCTATTTAATCTTTATTTATTTTTTTAAAGAAAATGTCCATGCTGTATTGAACCTTTGCAGAGTGCAAAGGGATGCTGTTCCTATTGAAGGCCACTATAGTAACTAATTTTACTGAACTGAAAAGAGGCCTACGTTTTTTCCCTTCTCCTAATTCATGCTGCAAGCCACATTTATGATTACATAGTTAATACATTTTTTTTGGTACTGCCTGATGATAATGTGATTATAATGTGTTGATGAACTCATCTGGGGTTTTTACTGATGTGTTCCTTTGTTATGAGCGATGCAGGCCCTGCAAGTGCTGATGTTGATTTGTGCTGATGTAGACTCTGATTTCTGAGTAACACTTGAGATATTTTCCTGTTCATTTGGCAGATGAAATGGGCTAGTGGAACAGAAAGATTGATAAGGGCCAGAGATACTGTTCCTCATATAGAATTGTCACTGACAGTGTGATCTTTAATAATGGGATAATTCAGGTGGATAAGGACCATGGAACCCACTAGGCCTCTAGGCCTCCTCCTGCTTGGGACCCTCTCATGGTCTCCAGTTGAACCTCCTGCTCAAAGCAGGGTCAGACCAAGTTGTTTGTGGTTTTATCCTGTGGAACTTGAGAAGATCCAAGGGCAGAGACTGCACAGCCTGTTCCAACGCTCGACTGTCCTCACAGTAAAAAAACATTTCATAGATTCACAGAATAGTTTGGGTTGGAAGGGACCTTAAAGCTCATCCAGTCCAACCCATGGGCAGGGACACCTCCCACCAGACCAGGTTGCTCAAAACCCCGTTCAACCTGGCCTTGAACACTTTCTTATAACTGGAATGTGTCTTATGTTCATACCTGTTGTCTCTCATCCCTGGGCCACACACTGCTGCTTCATCATGCAGTTCAGTGTGATTTTATGTTTCTTCAGCTGGAAAAGTAAGGTGCTACGATACTGCGTTATTTGTTTGGTATTTGTAGAAGGTTGCATTCAGAGCTATGCCTTCAGCTACAAAGCGGGGAACATGGTATGCAGAGATCGGGAATAGAGTTTTGTCCATTAGGTGGCCATTATGAAACAATATAAAATATTAAAAGAATATCACAAGTAGGCTCTTGTCCTAGGGGGCGATAAATATGCCAGGAGAGTAGGAGCTGTGCACATCTTAGTAGAAGTAATGTCCATTTATCCTTTCAATTTTAACAAAAAAAAGCAGTAAGCGCTACTTTTGCCAGCTGAACCAATGTCATCTATTTTAACTCCAAATACATCAAGTAATGAGAAAACACTTATTTTTCAGGGAACTCAAATAGAATTGTCGATTGGAGTTGTCCTAGGAATTTCAACTATGGCAGGCAAGTAATAAAATTGCAGTATATGTAGCCTAATATGGCACGTTGCTATATTTTAGGATGGTAGTGGGCTACAGGGCTGGAAATGGCTCCTCCTTGGTCTTGCAGCTGCTTTTGCTGATAAAGAAACAACCTATGGTTGAAGCAAGGACGTACTTCATTTGCAGAAATGGAATTTCAGTTCAAATAGCTTCTGAAGTGCTTGCTGTCAGCTTTAATCTAAAAGTTTGAATCCCGGGCCACTCAGGAAAGTGTATTTGCATTTACATAACGGAACCACTCTGAATTCCTTAGGGTGTGATATTTATGTATGTGTACATATGTATTTGTAAGCACTGTTTGCTTGCAGTGCCAATTGACGATCAGCATTGATGTCCTTTCACTGCGTTGGGCGATGTTTTTGGTGGCTTCTCTGGCTCTGTGTGATACCAGGGGAAAGTGCCGCAGTCCCCCTGCTCCTGCACTGGCCTAAAACTGATAAGCTCTGCTCGGCAGCTTTGGTGTCTCTGCAGTGTCGGAGAGGAAAAAAAAACTGCTCATGGATCTACCAACTGCAGGTGTAGCACTGCTTGAAAGCACACAGATAACTTCAATAAAAACATATAAAGCAAAACATATATATCAGAACAAATGAATCATTTGGAAATGCGCAGCCCTCCGTTGCAGTGCAAGGCAGTTGCAAGCAAGTTTATCTCCATGAGATCTGCTGGATTTTAAGTGTGTAACTTCATTCAGTCATACACTTTTACTTCTAAATTGGCACAGTTTTTGAAATGTTTATCAAAGCTACATCTGTGAGTAACAGCTCCTTTTATTTCCAGTGCTTCTGTGCCTCTTCAGGCACTGGAAGGCCTTGCTTGGTGTCCAGCATTAGCTTATGAAACTGCACGTGGGTGTTTTTAACTCGGATCTGAAAAGCTCTTACACTGATTTCCAGGTGTCAGTGTTGTACTTTGCTTTTGTCAAGTTTTCTTCAGATAAATTGTGAAAAATAGTTGCACTACCTGTTGTTAGTCTGCTGCTGTTGTTACAAACTGTAATAAGATCAAAAGAAAAACTCTAAAATAAACTTACTTCTAGTCTTCTATGCAATATATACTGAGAAGAGTGAGGGTCACTGGTGGGGCAGGGAGGGGAGCTGTTTGGTTTTGGTTTTAATTAAAATAATACTTGACGTTCTTCTCCCCTTCTCTTCCCTCTCCATCCCTCTAGCTGCTGCTTTGGGAAACCTTGTTTCAGATTTAGCTGGACTGGGGTATGTCTGAACTTGTATTAAAGATATATATATTTTATTTTTTTTTCTCACAGACACTATTGGTGCTACTGAAGTAAAACACAGTAACTGCTGAAATTGCTTTTTATTTTTTCCTACCTCTTGCATTTTGCTTCAGTAAACTACATGACTGTAGAAGTGTATTCTGTCCTTGCTAAGAAAAACGTTGGAATTTTAAGTGGTTCTTGTCTAGGTTAAGACCGCAGTGCTATAGTTCTGAAACAGAATACCTCCCCTGCTATTACACTATTAAAAATTCTAAATGATAAAATTGGGATTGGCGTTTAACCTGATTCAGCGTAGTCTGTAGGTAGTGCTTGTTTTTAAGGAACTATTAGAATTCTGTTCTACAAAAAAATGCATTCATTGAAATAGGATACTAAAAAAAATCCCTATCTTTTGTGGTACGATCTATTGCAGTGATAGAATATACCTAATATACATCCTCAGACATCATTATGACGAGATCTGTAGACACTTCCTTCACCTCAGAACAATTACATATCTGAAATGTCTTCATGAAGACGTATAGGCATATCTATTTCTGATATAAAGAGATACAGCTGGCTTTCATTTTCTAAAGGAAATTTCTGTGGAATTGCTGAAAGTAAAGCTGTCTGTTATGCCTCTTTTTTTCCCCACTTCATTTTTTTTTTTTCTGCAAATAACAAGACATTACTAACTAGTGTGTGTGTGTGTAACCTTTCCTGCAGTAAAGGTTACTTACAAGCTCTGCAAAAGTACAGTACCATTAACATCAGTTGTGTCTTACTGCATAAAGGTTTTTCTGGAAATACTGCATATTAAATCAGTGAGAAAATGAGTTACCTCTCATTGCAAAATGTGACCATCAAAGGTCTGAACACTTTCCTGTATTTACCTCTTGATAGCTTTATCAGTACGCAGAAGGAAAAGCCATTCATTTTAAGTTCAATGTTTCAAATATTTCAGAATCCTGCCTAGAAGATACTGTCACATCCAAAATAATTTCTTCTTGTTTTCTTCTTCTTCCAGTCTTGCAGGTTATGTAGAAGCTTTAGCTTCCCGGCTGGGTCTGTCCATCCCTGACCTGACGCCCAAACAAGCTGATATGTGGCAAACGCGGCTCAGTGCACACTTGGTGAGTATGCTGTGGGTAGGCACTGTTTGTGCTTTTTTTTGTTCAAATTCACACATGATAAATCATTTTTGTCACTTTTGCCATTAAATACCGAACAGCCACCAAGATTTTGCACATTTCCTGAAAGGTTTAGTTGTGAGCCTATGTCAGGGAGCATCATGAGACTGGATTGTTTTGGGCTTGGGTGGGTTTTTATATGCAACAAGCCACAAGTGGCTGTTAACATGGGTATTCTCTGCCATGACTCCATGTGTGCTATGTGATACCTGGGTTGAGCTCTGCCTGCTGTGAGAAGGTAGTTTACTCCAAAGTTATGACCCCTTAGTAGTTTCTTCCTGTACATTCTTTGTCAAGCGTTTGCTATTCATACACCTCTACTAATATCTATTCATTTCTAATATTCTATAATTACCTTGGATATGAAATTAGCTTTCCCCTGGGTAAACCTTTAGCATTTGAGTAATATTCACTGCTTGGGTTTACACTTATGGGACACTCGTCTTGCAGATTCATTTTCAGGATGATTATTTAATTAACATTTAAATATTTGAAGCAGTCCCACTTCAGCAATGCAAGCGTTAGTTTATTTTGATTTAAGACGCAGATTATAAGAAACTGAGTAAAGAAACAGGTATTAATCTTTGCAGATTTAAGGGAAGAGAAGTAACACTTTCTGAGGAAAAGTTGGGGGAAAAAAGGTCTGCTTTTAGCAGTAATAGATGAAAGCACTGAGCAGGGAGGAATTGCCGTGCTGGCAGTGGGCTGCCCTTCATCTGTGCAACCCAAGAGTTTGCTCCATGGAAGCTGAGTCTGAGGCAAAAGCCTGGCATTACACTGCAGTTCATTCACAACACTTCTCTCTGAAAAGACTTCTGAGCATATTTGTCTGTATGCTAGCATTTTTTCTTTTTTACCTGCTGTCTCAGGCTTCTCAGCGCTATCCACCTACTGCTGGTGATGCGGTTTGGATGTTACCTGCCTTTCTTCTTTCCTTTCTTCTTGACTTTAACATCTAGGCCAATTGTGAAATGTTTTTCAATCTTTTTTTCAACTTCGCCTTGTGCCTTTGCAAACCATCCTCATTCCTGACTTTGATAATTTGCATTTCCAGGTACAAACAGATAGGTTTATAATTGCACCTAAAATGTGTGTGGGGTTTTGGTTGGTTTTGTTTTTGTTTTCTTCTTTCCCGGTCTTCCTGGCCATCCTACTAATCCTTTTAATCTGTCTCCTCCCTTACCACCCGTGTGGCTCTTTGGGGGTCATTCATTATTCAGAATTGCCTTTTGTCACAGCAAACACTGTTTCTAACCTTGTATTTGTCTCTCTCTCATAGATTCTATTTCTAGTCTGCATGCTAAGAAATGTGGCTCCCAGCCAAAAACTAGAACAAAGGGTCTGTTTTCCTGGTTGTGTTGGTTGGTGCTGCACAGCAAATGAATAACAACTGCTCAGTGAGAAACTTAATTTTTTCCCCCTTTCTCTAGGGTAAAGCTATCGGAGTGACCATTGGCTGCATTTTAGGAATGTTTCCTTTGTTGTTCTTTGGCGATGAGGAAGAAAAACTGGAAGAAAAAAATTAACCTTTTTACAAGACGTATACAAATGTAAACTACTGTACCTCAATTACTCAGTTACGCTGTCAATATTTAGGAATTAACAGACAGTAAAAAAAAATGTATAGACTTGGGAACAAAACCTTCAGCATGTCGTTTTATGGAAACACTAATTTATTGTGGCTTTGTTGTGTTCAGTACTTCTTTTTATAAGATATCATCTGACTTTTTATTTAATTGTAAATTTTTGAAGTGTTTTCACTTATGGCAACTGATGTTTACCACTTTCCCCTTTGACCTTATTCTTTAATGGATTATTAAAGTAATAATCCACCATAGAGGACAGTATCACTCTTGAGTTGCATATTGGTTGCTTAACAGTTGTAATTGCATGACAAATTTCACTGCTGTTCATCAGGTCCTTCAATGCAGATGACTGAGGAGGTCAGTGAGGAGTGATTTGAAGCCCTTCACTTTGCAGGATGACTGGTTGCCCCCTCACCAGCCGTCGTTTTGCACTGCCCTTAGATAGGTATTTCAGTGATCTGCCACAGTCTGGTTTGCATTTTTTCACAATTCTGACTAAGTGTCTCTGAATTGTCTTCTGAGATGATAATTTTAATGCTTTGACAAGGTAAGTGTTTCCAGTGTAGGCTCTTTATCAAGTCCATTTTTTAGTGATGTTTTAACACCTGTACTTCCACACTTATGCCTTTTTTCTCCTTTGTAAACAGTATCTTGAGAATTGAGTTGAGATATCCTTACACTTGACTTCCTGAGTTTTGAGTTTGGTATTAAAGAATTCAGACCAAATGTTTCAAAACCACAAATAACTGGTTTTTAATTGTTCTGCTGAAAATAAGGTGTGAATAATTGATTGGGTGGATGAGGCCAGGGAGCACTTCAGGGTATGAATCAGTGCTGGCATTGCAAGTTTGTAATAGGTGGTTCAGTTGAAACAATCAAGTGTTCCATCAGTCTGGATTAGAGGACCTGATTTGCAGATTATAACTTTGTACTTAAGATTAAGCCTTTGCTATTTTTTTTTGTTGCTGTGTGACAATTAGTGGAAAAAAAAAAACCCAACAGACATCGAAAAAAGGAGACTCGAGGCCTTTTTCCCGTTTTGCCTTTTGTTTTTGCAGTCTTACTTGGTGTATTATAGATCTGAGAGTGCAGTCACATGTAACTGTGCTTTTTTTATATGGTCATGAATAAATTGATTACAACTATTGAATATTCATAATATTTCAGGATCTGACTTGCCAATAGCATAGTGCTAAACTGATAACTGTTGATTAGAGGAGAAGGTTTCTTCCCTGTTTGAATACCATTTGGAAAAGACACTGAAAAGAGGCACAGCCAGGGCACTTGAAAAGTTTTATTGCTGGAATTGTTAGCAGTTCTGAAGCCTAGAAAAAAAATTGTCATGATGTTCCCTGATGACTTTTATTTGCTATAAGAGAAGTCTTATTGTAGCACATGTATGTTTTACAGAGCTTATGTTTATCTCTCGGTCATAAATCTGACATCTCTGTTCTCATTTCTAGAAGCCCTGTAACAGCAGTACTGAAACTTAGACATCAGCCTTTGATGAAGGTGACAGTGTTGTATCTGTTTTTTTGAAAAGCAGACTCATGAAGCCTGGCAGTGAATAGCCCTAGTAGCGCATACTGTACTTTGTACATTAAACCACGAGAATCTGGACCAAACTGTAAAATGGAAAGAAATCTCAGCCAGGCAAGAATAGAACACAAACGCAGAGGAGTTGAGACTTGTACTTTCAGAGTTGGAAGCTTTATAAAAAAAACCTCAAACAACAAAAAAACCCACCAGAAAAAAAAGAATCCTTCTGGAAAATTATACACTCCATTCCCAACAGATTGCTGCTGGTTTACAGTACTTCAGTGATCAGATTTTTTTTTAGTCATCCACACACTTGTTTTGCCTTAAACTCTAACTTTTTTCCTCTGCTTCTACTTTTGTTTCTGGTATGTTTCTATACAAAGCTGTAAGTATTTCCTACATGTTCTTTTTTTAAACTGAAGTACACATTAAAACAGTTTTGCAGAGCTTTTTTCTAGCTGTTTTTACAGTAATTCCAACACCGTTTCCCATTATTGTACTGACATCTTCATTGGAATCTTCAGTAGTGGCCAAATCTCTGCTCTTTGCTGTTGTACCAACTGGAACACTGTTTTCATCACTTTTCTAGACCTCATGAGAACAATCAGAAGGCTGTGTCAGCTGTCATAGTTAATGTTGATTTTATAATGGCAATAGGAGAGATCGTGTACTATTGTTAAATAGCTTCTGCATGTCAATTGAATACATTTTGTTGCTGTATGTCAAACTATTGTACTGCAACCAATGCTTTTATTGAGAATTAATTAACTAAAATATCTTCAAAGAAATTAATCATGTGTCGTTTTGTTGAACTATTTAGTTGACCACAAATATGTGGAGGGCAAGTGACACATGGTAAGAAATCTTGGGTGTTTCAGGCTGTTGTCTTGTACTGTAATAAAGAAGGTGACTTCTGGGGTTTCACTATTCAACAAATACGAAGAAATAATGAATGATTTGAGGGAATAGTAGCTCTGCTGGAGGCTGAGGAGGTGCTTGTTGGGGCCAAGCTGCCACCCGAAGTGGGAGCAGCTTGCTTCGGCTGTGGGATCCACTCCTGTGTAGATGTGGTACATGTGCTTCAAGTGCAAGGGAAGAGCTGTGCCTGATCTGCACCCTGTCTCCTCCCAAGGAGGGTGTTGTCTTGGTGTTTTTCTGGGGTATATGGATGAAAGTAATCCCTGATGCTCTGACCATTTTTTAAATGCTTAATGAGAAGACAGAGCACTAACAAAACAGTCGTCTTTGTTTTATGTTGCCTTCTCCCTCCTCCATAAAAACACTACAGGCTTAATCAGAGACTTCAGTATTGCTCCATTTTTTTATTCTATCAGTTCGTCCTGTGTTAACAGGGATTTTTTATGTTAAAGGGCTGGTAGACCTGAAATTGTGTTTATTTTAAAATGCTGTCTTTTATTGTAATTTAAAATATAAATGTATTTTTGACTGTATGTTATATCTAGGGACAAAGAACATGCATCTGATAATAAGGTTACCCAAATCTTCTTGCCAATATTTTCTCATTCATGTACTTTTACATAAATTATTCAAATTCAGACAACATATTTTGTATTGTCTTTAATTAAACTGTCAAACTTTCTGTAAACTTTTGTACTGCAGCAAAGCTGTTCTGTGTTTCTTTATTAGACCAGATGCTGGAGATGAATTGTTAATAATATCCTGTGGGTATTCAGCCTCAGTTAACAGGAGTTTATGATTTAAGTTACAAGCAGGTGGTCCTTTGTAGGAGATACCACTGTGGAGTGGTACTTTTGTCTCTTCATGCTCAAAAAAGAGCGATTTAAACAATTAAAATGTTTGCATGGTAAATTGGTGGCATTTGTGATTAATATAGTCAGAAGTCCAGTTGTGCTTGAACTTCTGGAATTAGCAGGCTTTGTATACAAACAGCCCTTTTGAACTCGCCTGCACTTTGAAGCTCGCTGTTTTTTTTTTTTCACTCCTTGGGCAGTCCCTTTTGTGGATGTCTGTGCATAAAGAAATGCTGTGAGTAAGACATGCCTGGGCTGGAAGGATGGTATCATTTCATTTGGACAACCTGTATAGTTTAGCTGTAATTTTACTCTATTCTGGTTGCGTTGTGTAGCAGAACTCTTCATTAGTGTTGTTCAGAGAGTCTGTTGCACTTCAAGCCAGTGTGTTTCCCTTTGATCTTTTACATGGTGTAGTGACAAGCTGGCAGACCAGAGGTCTATAAACTAAAGACTTCATTAGTGACTAATAATAATATTTAGTATTGTGGAATTATCATTCTGCTCTGAGAGTCCTATGGCTCTGGGATTTTTTTTAAACTTAAAATATTAAGAAAATAGCTAGAGCTGCTCCAGGTTGCAGTTAATGCTTTCATAACACAAATTCAAGCTCCTGTTTTAAAGTCTTTGTTAAACAATTTAAGGCTTTTACCCTTGTCTCAGTGTTCAAGACCCTTGGCAGCCAGAGTGTTGCTTCAAAATAGTGAGGTGGCTGGAGGATTTTGGCCAAACTTGGAGTTTAAAAGCCAGCTGAATAAATGCAGAAGGATTATTTTGTTGTTGTTTTGGAAGGCTGCTTCTCCCAGTCAAATCAAACCAAACCTCACCCCCTAGACAGACCTCCCCTCTGCTTCCCCAGGAGATTGTGGTCAAGTAGGATTTGAGCAGGGCAGTCTTTGAGCCTCGATACACAATTCAGAACAGCGACCTTGGGTAGCAACAGGCAGTGCAGAGTGCTGATGTAGTGTCTCTCCTCTAAGTAGATGATGCCAAGATAAGGCCTCTTGCAGCAGCATGGAGAGAACTGACAGGAAACATTTTTAGCAGTTTTCACCTTGGTAGTCCATAGGTAGCTGAGTGACTGACTTAAATAATGATGCGGCTATGAATGCCCCTCACGGGTCTCATGAGTTGCTCCTTCCGTTCTGTCTTTGGTATGCAGTGGTCATTAGAATAACCTCCTGCAGTGATGTGATGTCCTTGTGTATGTAACTTGCACCGAGTCATGTGTGTAGGTAATGCTGAAAACAGACGTGAAGTACAGCAATGTTAGCTGTTTCTCTGGTGCAGTAAATGCATCAAACAAAGGAAGTGCTGGATTGGAGATTTTACCCAGCTGCATGACCCAACACAGTTTTTATGTCATTAGTCGTGAGGCATATTGATAGCTGTGAAGATCAGAATTGTAGAATAGTTTGGGTCGAAAAGGACTTTTGAAGGTCATCTAGTCCAACCCCCCTGCAGTGAGCAGAGATGTCAACTTGATCAGGTTGCTCAGAGCCCCATCCAGCCTGACCTTGAGTGTTTCCAAGGATGGGGCATCTGCCACCTCTCTGGGCAATCTGTTCCAGTGTTTCACAATCCTCACTGTAAAAAATTTCTTCCTTATATCTAGTCTGAATCTACCCTACTTTAGTTTAAAGCTATTACCATACAGTCGACTTTTTGGGCTGTGAGTACACACTTTTCGTCCACCAGTACCCTCAAGTCCTCCTCCACAGGGCTGCTCTCAATACATTCATCCTCCAGCCTTTATTGATAGCCAAGGGTGCCCTGACCCAGGTGCAAGGCCTTGCACTTGGCCTTCTCGAACCTCATGAGATTCATCTGGGCCAACTTATCAAGCTTGTCCAGGTCCCTCTGGATGGCATCCCATCCCTCAGACATGTCAGCTGGACCACTCAGCTTGGTATCATCTGCAAACTAGCTGACGGTGCACTCTATCCCACTGTCCATGTCGTCGATGAAGATATTAAACAGCACTGCTCCCAGTACAGACCCTTGAGGGACACCACTTGTCACCGACCTGCATCTGTATGTTGAGCCATTGACCACTACCCTCTGGTCACCTTAGTCACAACAGCTTTCATGTTGATGTTGCTGTCTATGCCCTACTGATTTCTGTGCTCCTCTGTGCATGTTAGTAATGCTATTTAATGACTACAGATTTAAGGTTCTAGTTGTTTGGTATCAAATTCAGCATAGGCAAACAGCCAGAACAGAGGCTTTATGGCACTTCATCTTGGTTTCCCTAAAACCTTTCCACAGCAGATTTGGGGGTGGGATGGGTAGCAAATGCCATTGTATTTCCGTATCATTGCTACAGTTATGATGTAATACACTAATTATTAAGAATTTGGAAGAGATAAGTGCTTCAGTGTGATAAATGTAGTTCCATTTTCATATGATGTGAACATACAGGAAGTCTTGACCTATGCTTGTACGTATACAGTTTACCCCTTATCTTCATGAGTTGTAAGCCTAAAAGCATTC